AAGGGCTTATAGTTTAAATAGACATGACAGGCAAAAGGTCACACAACAAGTTAGGGGCACATCCAGGTAGAGATCCCAGGTCTTCCAACTCCTACTACAGTTCCCATTCACTGCATCATGCTGCCTCTCGCTCAGTATTACTGATCCAAATTTATCCCTGATATAACTCTATTGACTTCAAAGGAGTTACACTAGGATTCCATTTCACCTATTATTCCTATTTCATAGATGGCTAAACTGAAGCACAGATGCAAACATTTTCAACTGTGAGAACTACTTTGGGGTATTCAGTTTGTGGGTGCCAACCCTGAAACATAGACTTAAGGTCTGATTTTCAGAGATGCTGAGCTCTGGTAGTTCCCACTGATTTTATCTGGGATAGTGGGTACTCAGCCTCTCTGATCATCCAACCCTTCATGACACCTTACAACTGTAATTCCAAGCTAGAGGACTCTTAAAAAAAAAAAAGTGTGACTAAATTATTTGCCCAAGATATCTGTGTCAGAGACAAAAATAAGATCTAAATCATCCAGGACTAACTCCTGCGACTTCCCTTGGCTTCAAAATTAATTTCACTGAGCCAACTCCTCCTTAAACTGAGAAGCACAAACACCTTTGGTTACAAAATTCCCCAAAATGAATTACTATAGAAAGAGGGATTGAACACCAAGCCCTTCCATATAGCAATAAAAGTCTAATGATCTACCTAGGAAAGGTATTAACATGACATCTGGTTTAAACTTTAGATATATTAATGAAATATTTCTCTTTGAATATTGGGAGAGGCCTTTCTATGACTGGTAGATGAAATCAGACAAGCATTACAAGACAAGATATATTAGAAAAGGCAGATTTAATCCCAAAGCATCTAAAAGATTTAAGATCAAAAAAGAAAAATGTAGTAGCCATTTAGATTGCAATTATCAAGGACCCTGTGATTGGACAAGATTCCATGGTCTGTTGAACTTTGTTTGTTATACTGAAGTGTCAATCCCCAAGAAATATGATTCCTGAGGTACTAACACTCCACACCCACCAGACCCAACTTGTTCTGAGCACTTGGGAGATTGTGTCTCCAGTATCAAAACAGCTAAATCCTCTTCTGTGAAGAAAGAATCAGGAAGTGCAATAACTGAAATATACTGTATAGTAATATCCAAAAATCAATCAAGAATTCAGAGAGAAAATGGCATAAGCCAAGAGAAACAAAGAAAGACATAAGTGAAGATATAAACTATCTGCACTGTTAGCCTGATTCCTCTGTGGTTTAGAATTAAATATAAATATGTATCATTTCTTTTGAATTGTATGTACCTGTACCTACACAGACTCCAAAATCTAAGCTTGTGTTAACCTATTCCCAACTCATAAATATACCTTCAATAGGCAGAACTCAGACATGCATCATTAAACAAATGAAAACGTATTGTGGAAGAAAGCAAATGTAAGAGATGGGCAAGATAAATAAATATTTGTTGTTGGGGATGAAGGGCAAGACAGAAACTGGACTCCAGTTGGGTTAAATTCTGTTCTTAGTTACCCCATTCAATTTAGTGGAATTACATGTGTCACTGAAGACCAGAATTTGGTCTGTAATGGAAAAAATATCCATAAAGATTCTTTTGGAAGACAAATCCTTGTCATGGAACAAAGATGTATTTTCTTTTTTTACCTTTAGCTTTGCAGCAGATAGACTGAAAGGCTTGTTATCTTTTCTCTGGACAATATTCAGGGCACAGGAAGTTTTAAGCATCAGCTATGCTGATTTTCAGGACAGTTTTAGCAATAAGCACCATTCCTAAATGCTACCCAAGGTTCCAAATGTATTGCAAGAAAACCATTTAAATAGATTGTATTTCTTTACTGCTTGAGGTATACTGATAGCATCATCTGGTCCTCTTATGTTAAGATAAAATAATGCCACTTTAGAAAGCATTTTTTTTTTTTGTGTGGAATGAGCATACACATGTTGCTCCAGTCCCTGAGAATTATTCCCAGCCCAGAGAGATTTGTGGGAGTGCAGGTGGAAAATGAAATTGTCTCACAGGTGCCAGTGGGTAACAAATGTTCCTTCTACATTTATGTAAGCTAATATAAAAGTGAACTGAAGGTTGTAGCCCTTCACGATCTAGAATCAAGGCTTCAAAAAGGATTATGAGTTGTAAACACCAGACAAGGCTAACTTAATATATGAAAAAAAAATTTGCAGTAAGTCACAATGGGGTTATTTCTACTTTTTGTATTGCCGATTTAAAAATAAAATAAGGTATCTACAAGATGACTAATATTAACACTGAAGTTTTACTAATGGGAGTATTCAAAATGGCATTTTGTATTACAGAAATAATTAATATGTTTTTTCAATTAAAAGAACATGCATCTACTTTACAGTAGAAGGAAAAGCTACTTAACATTAACAATGTTTATTAATTACTACAAATTCTGTATGAACAGTGAATCTCCTAAGGTACAAGTTTACGCAAAGCACCAACACAGAAGGTCAGAAAATAGACTGGCCTGGATTCAGGATGCATGTGTTGTCATGACAAGTGGGTCCATGAAGTATTTGGAGGAGCACTGGTCATACTTCCAGCCCATCCGTAAGCCCCTTCCACGTGCTAATAACATGGGGTATTCCCCTGCATAGCCTCTCCCCAATTCTCAGTCCCCTGAGTGGCACCCTGAGAACTCCCTGTATTTTGGCCCTTCAACTGTACAGAGGGATAGGAGGCAGATTTTCACCTTAAATGAATATCTGACATATCATCATTTACATAATAAATGACATGATTCATACAGTGAAATCAGAGAAGCATCATAGATGATGGGATGTTCTAAATCATCTACTAAATCATTTCCAACCAACATATTTTCCTTATATCTTCGAAAGGACTTTGTCAACCTTTTAAATTATAGGAACTATGGAGCTTCCTCTTCCCTTGACATAATATTTCACACTATATTAGATCTCACTATGAAGAAGTGGTAAGTTTGTACTGATTCTAAATGTACATATATTTGATTCCCTCCAGTTACCCCCACTGAAGCACCCTACACACTTTTTCTACCTTCTTGATATTTACACCCTTCTAATACTTGTAGACAGTTACTTCCACCTTTTCAGATAGCCTTACTTATGTTGACTAGTACCTTATTCAGTAAATAATAAGGGAAAGGAAGAACTGTCCAGTGGTTAGGGTATAAGCCTAGGATTTGGGAGACCCGGGTTCCATACCCTGATCTACCACAGACTTCTTGTGTGACCTTAACTTCTCTGTTCCTCATGTGCAAAATGGGGATAAGCATAGGGGTGTTGGACGATAAATACAGTAAATATTGTGTGGTCCTCAGAGACTATGATAATGGAGGCCATATAAGTACCATAGATAGTTCCATCAATTTCAGTGAAGCAGCCTGACCAATAAAGTACTATTGTACTCCAGTAAAAAGATAAATACCTCGCCTTTAAAAAGGTGCTTATTGACTCAATTTTAAATAATCCCTCCAAAAAAGGAAAAAAAATAATAAATACATTGTACTAGTTGTATATGCAGAGCTATTTAGAAACAATGGATTATGAAGTACTTTGCTTGAAAAATCTAGGCAGAAAGAACAGTAATGTAGCATATCAGACAATAGTAGATTTTCTTGCATTCTATGTCACGTGCAACACTGAAAGTAAAATCTCATATCTTTGAACTAAAGGAAATAACATTTTTATTTTGGATGGGAGGTAAGAGGGAATTGTCTGTAAGCATAATGGCCACAGATTTGGTTTCATTATAATCACAACAAAGTACAATACTTAAAAAGAAACACCATCACAAAACAAAACAAAAAAAAACTAACTGAAATAGGATATAGCTGTACGCTGTAGCTTACTAGCAAGGACATCAGTTCACACTGCCGTTTCAATTTATTATTTTTTTCTAAATGCACATTTTCATATTTTGGATGCATTTTCAACATGTCACCAAAGGTTCATCTCTCCAGTACACTTCTGTATGTTCCAATTCTGAATTAAAGCTATAATCTCCTTCAATGTATGAACTGTGGGAGATCTCCAGTTTTTTCTCTATCCCCCTAAGAAATATCATTTGGCTACCTCGAGGGTCAGTCAAAATAAGCAATTGAATAAAACCTGTATGTCAAACCTGCTCAGCTAAATATCTATTTAATTGTTTAATTTAACAATCTAATGATTGTTCCATGTGCAGACAATACTGCATGCCAGTTGTTTGATTTAAGAAGCGTTGGAACGGAATTTATTAGTAAGAGACAGGAAACCCATAATAGTGAGAGAAGGCCTTATTTCTTAATGTTCTCCTTTTATCTCATCTCTGGGTCTACCAAACTGTTCCTCTAATAAATGATACAGAATATTGAAACAGCAACCTTGGTGTAAATCTTAGCTAGTTCACTATACCTGACCCACACTTCTTTTGGATACTATATGAATCAAGAAATAAAGTGATCTATACCTGATAAGTAACTCTGTTGCAGATACAGTATGTGAAACAATCAGGCACTGCAGCAGCATTCACCATTTTTAATCACAACCTATACATTTCTTAATAAGGTATATGTTAAATACTCACTACAGTAAATAGGAGGTTTATGTATTCAAAATGCTTTAATTTAATTCTGATGCCAGCATTTATAGGGTTACACATAAACCACCATTAGGTGTTTCAAGGTTAAGTACTCAAAAATAAAGGTAGAATACTATGATGGAAAAGAGTGTTTGCACCTGAACGATCTCATATCATGTCTTAATGGGACAAATCTGAGCAAACATGGAATATTTCACAATTCCAGAAAGTAAAACAAAGCTGAAAGCCTGTGCCTTTATTGTAAATATACTAACAATTTGACCACTATTCCTTTCTTGGTTTAATCTCACAGAACAAACTAAAGTGCATTCAGTGTTGTTCAAATATTGAGACGTCTTTAAAATCCACTCTAAAAATACTTTGCTGACAATCAAATATCCCTCTTACCTCATTCTGGAGATCTCTGATCATTTTGCTCTTCCTTTCCATTTCAGATTTCAGAAAGTTAATCTGCCAATTTTAAAAAATGCTGAATGTTAAGTTTTGAAGCACACGACAAATGCCACACAATCATTTCTTTTCCATTCTCGTGCTTTTCTTTTCCTCTTCACAACTTTTGATAGGCAATTCAAAAATTAAGCCACTAGTCATATCTGTACCTACGGATAAGACACCTTATTTAACTAAAGGAGGTGCCCAGCCTTGGTAGACTACAGATTCATATCTATTAAATAATCTGCAATAAAGTGACAATACAGGTAGCTAGGGGATTCACTAAACAAGATAGGTTAATAAAGAAACTCATTCTGCATGAAAATCCTTCAAGTCCTAGTTTTGTTTTTGGATGGATATGATACCTCCAGATTTTTTAAAACAAATTCCATGGTATTCTTCAGAGAATTGCAGATTTTTAGAACAATAGAATTAGCTGTTTTTACAATCATAAAATCTCTGCAGTTTTCAATCTCCTATATATTAACACAACATCTGTCAGATTTTAACACCCTTAGTTATACTAAATAGATTTTCACTACATGAGTGGCTCCATCAAGCTTTTGGAGCCAATGAGAGCACTCATGGAGTAAAGGTGTCAGAACCTATGCTAAATTCAAGGAATTCTTACATGTAGAAGTTTGACTCAATTTATGCAGTTCATGTAGTTTAAGAAGCATCTTTGGTTTACACAAGTCAAGTTGTACTTTTCTTTATAGGAGTCAGACTGCATTCACTGCATTGCTAGGTACATTTTACAGGACAGTGAGGGATAAAGGTGTATAGTATGTAGTTAAAATAAACATGACAATGTGAAAATATCCATTTCATATTAGGATGCCGTGGCAATCCTACATGAATTATCAATACAGAGATTAAAAAAAGTAGACCAGCTCTCTCTGCAACAAACAAATAACAACAACAAAAAGCATTCACACAAAGCAACACAGCTGAGGAAAACTTAGTAGTTCACATAAAAGCACTTGTAAAAGTATGCCTATAACTTCACTTTGGGATAACCTGCTGTTTTAAGGAGGAGGACATTAGGATAAAGATCCTTTCACCACTTGAACACTTGCCTCAGTGGCTTTACCTTAAGACAAGCTCTTCTTTAGATTGTGTGACATTGAGTAGGCTGTTTTAATCCACTTCCTAGGTGAGAGAGGTCAGTAATTAAAAAACACCATCAGACTTGGCACCACTGATAACCATACCAGCAATGAAGCCAATGAACAAGCTATCATACAATGGGGGGAGAGGTCCCTGCAGTTTAGGGATGATTGGCAGGGTTATATGGAACTTTTGCTGCCCAAGTCCTGTGCATAAAGACCTAGATTGTGGAAAATGCTGATTATTCTTAACTCCCATTGATTTTAATGGGAATAGAAGACTTTCAGCAACCTCAGATATGATCAAGATGCTCAAATAGAGAATTTTAGTCTGCTAGACATTTGGCCTAAAACATTTGGACTTTACTAAGTCACTAAAAATAGTCACTGTGAAACCACAAGTCCAAGATCCATGGAAGAATCACAAATAGAGTATAGGATAAATGTGGCTCTTTAGATGCACTGCTGTATCTGTTCAAAGGATATAGTTAAGACAGGCAAAAAAAAATGACCTTCATTGACATGAGTCCTATTTCTCAGTCATTACTCTCAAGAGAGATTCCTTGTCATTTTTCCTCCAAAGTTGCTCATTTCGGGTGCTGAAATAACTAAAATAATAGGAGAGAGATGGTAAAGAAAATGCTCTCAGTGTGCTACTGCTATTATAGGACATGGGCACTAGCCTGGCTATTCTGCTAGGGTGAAATTTAGTGTATTTTAAAGGGTCCACACAAAGGTGTATGTACCACGTAAGCTTTTTGCACAGTAGATGTAAATCACACTGATATGGGCACCTAAGAATATGTGTACTAAATCAATTAACCTAAATAAATACATTTTAGTTTTCCACAGAAAATCATTTCTTTTCAGGTTAAATTATATCTGAATTAAGAAAAAAATGCATTTATTGTTTACGTTCCTTGGAATTCTAAGGCTGTGCCACTTAAGCTTTAGCAGCTGAAGAGCCAATTAGTCATAACACAGAGCTGCAGTAAGCCACATAAAAGACTTAGATTTATATTACTTGGCTACTAGAGCTAATATGGAGATAACCCATCTGTCCATTTGAGTGTGTCTGTGTATGCCTCTATATTGTGGTGCCCTAAGGCAATTGTCTCAGTGTCAGGGTGTTACATGATGCTTTTACTCAAATCCAAGGAAAGAGCATCGTGCAAGGCTATGAAGGACTGCCTGTGGTTTGAGAACCTGGAGTTAAAAAACGCTGCTTGGGGGCATATATTAATAGTGTATGAATCATTACTTAGGTGGGTGTAGAAACTCTGCTTTCTGCCTCCTCCACCCTAATGCACCTATTATTATCATATGCATGAATGGCCATTCAAGTTCTGGTCTATCTTTTTGTTTAAATTAAAGGCTGAGAAGCCACTCAGGAGTTTTCTGCATCCCATTATTCAGTCTTTTCACCCAGTTTCACATCCAATGGTTATCAAATGTTTGCCTTTAACTGATATCTAGCTGCAATTAAAAATAAATATTAAAAATATATTACAGCTCCAAGCCAGTGAACTTTTCAATGTTAAACAAGGACTGTGCTTCTGTGTCTCCAGGAGACAAACCCTCTGCATATTCAGAGCTTTGTGTGTTTCAGAGCTTATTACATTATTGCAGCTTCCATCCATTGGCCTTTACTCTCAGCAGTTTTTGACCTTAAAATTTCCAAATTAGCCTCTGCCCCACCCCCCGAAATACAAAATGCCCTAACAGATGGCAGTGATCTAATTCTAAGAATCAAACATTTATTTTATATGAATATTTATTATAGATGAAGGACAGAAGAACACCAACATATAATTGTTATTGCACAGTCAAAGCTAAGCTTGGAAGCTGGATGCTTAGTCACTTCTTATGTCTCACTTAGGACAGGTTAAGCCATGAACAATTAACAATGCACTGAAGTACAGCATGTGCACTGATATTGTTCATTACTATGGCTACAACTGGCAGCCCTGCCATAGTCAACAGCATATCTGTTATGATCCTGCTTTGAGGATTGTATTATTCTCATGGTTTACTTTGGGTAGGGATGAAAACAAAGCAGGCAGATTCTCAGACAAGAATATATATGCGGGGGGGAGGGGGGGGGAGTCATCAAAGGTTTAAACTGGGACCAGGATTTGGCCCCTGGAGTAAACTACATTCTGTTGGTATTAAACCGACAAGCCCTCCAAAAAAGTTAGATCTGCCCTGACTGTTGAAGAAAAGAGAGAAAACTTGCTTCATCGGAGGCTGAATCCAGTAAAGTGCTAAGTACGTTTAACTGCCATTAATATGAATAGGAACTGTGGGCACTTGGCAGCTCTTGGAATTTTCAGCAGGATGCGGGCTTGAATCCTTAAAGAAAAGATATTTCACTCAGATAAACTTTTCTATTTTTGTCATAATGGCTTTCGGAGCTTTTCATTAAGACTGTTTTCAACCAAAGATGGTCATTTATTATGGCTCTGCTTTGACTGAAATGCCTATTATTTAAATGAAGTGAACAGTCTATACTTTGCTAGCAAAGGGCAGGATAGATCTGAGGTTTTCATTGTTAGATTCCTATTCATGGTTAGAGGTCTCTGGAGGAAATCTTGCATTCTTTATTACTACTATTTCTCATATTTTATTTATATTTACTACTAATAAAATTACTCTGCGGCTGTTAGCAACAGTACCAGGTCCAAGCCTGGATAAAAGATAAGGGGTCTGCAGCTGGGTTTGTGACCCACTCAGGTAAAAACTTACTGCATCAGAAGCAGTTCAGTTAAACAAAACCTGAGGATGGTCGGTGCAGATGGAGCTCAAAACCCAAGTACGACAGATCTCAGTGAAAGTCAAAAGGAAGATAAAATCTCAGGACATCTAATCATGATAACCAAATCCGTAACAGGAATAGCAATGTGGAATGTACATATTCTGTATAGTATAGGAAAGCTAGCACATGTTAAGTGAGAAATGAAAAAATACCATCTGAGCATACTTGCGTTATTGAGACATGATGGGCAGGGTGTGGCAAGATGCTGTCTGATGGTGCTACAATCTTATACTCAGGAGGAGGAACACATGAAAGAGGTGTAGGAATTATGCTGATAACACCACAGTGAAAACCCCTGCTGGCTTGGAAGCCAGTGAACAACAGAACAACAACAGGGAGGCTCCAAACAACACATGCCAAGTGTAGAATAATCTAAGTACATGGACCAACAAATACAGCAAGCAACAGTGAAAAGTTTACATTCTATGAGCAGTGGCAAGTATTGGATTATGTGCCTAACCAGGCTGATGTTAGGTGACTTCAATGAACAAATCAGCAACAACTCTACTGGCTGGCAAAGAGTCATGAGCAAGAAGTGAAAGGCATCCAAACTAATAATGACAAATGGACCCTGAATCTCTGTGGCACAAGCATTCTAGAACAGACTCTTCCAAGACAAGAGGATTCACAAGCTCACATGGAGATCACCACACAATACATCTGTCAACCAGATAGACCATGTGTATATCTAAGAGATGGCATCTTCTTTGAGGGATGTCACAGTCAGTAGAAGAGCAAGTGTTGGTTACTGTTTTTTAGTGGTCACATTACAACTAAACCACTCCACACAAGCCCTGCTGGGGTTAAGATGGTTAGCTGAGCCAATTAACTCTTCCCCTGGAGGAGGAGCCAGGGAGCAGGGATTAATTAGATGAGACTCAGCTGGATAGGTACAGGAAGGGCCTGTATAAAGCCCAGGAGCTGAGAGCAGGTGGGAGCTGCAGGGGAAGCAGTCTGCAGTTAGTTCTTGGGAGAAGGGAGCTACAGAGATAGGTATCAAACAATTAGTCCAGGGGTGGGCAAACTACGGCCCGCGGGGAACAGCGGCCAATGGGAGTTTCGGGGGAGGTACCCGCAGGTGGGGACAGTGCATG